AGTACTTTGTTTTTCAATACAGGGAGAGTAGTTGTCTACCACAGAGACAAATACATACGTATATCCTACAGCACAGCTGTGTCAATCATGGCCACATGGTGTTACTGTTGAACACAGATCCTGCTGATTCCTGGAGCCTGTGACTTCTGCCTTTTTTTGTCCTTGCTGGTTGTTGTTATGTGCTGTTGAATCACCTGCGACTCATAACAATTCTATGTACAACAGCTCTGAACTCTACCCTATCCTGCCCTATCGCTGTCTCTGACACATCACCCAGTAACTGAGTTAACCAATTCGTCTCATCCAGGGTCTTCTCTTCTTGCACATTCCTCCACCTTTGCAAGCATGATGTTTTTTCCCAAGGACTAGTCCCTACTGGCAACATGACAAAAGTATATCAGACGGAGCTTCAAAACCCTTGCCTCCAAGGAGCAGCTTGGTTTCACCCTCTCCAGGACAGAACTATTTGTTGTCTTGGCGGTCCATAGTATGTTCAGTCCTCTTCTCCAGCACCACAACTCAAAGGCATCAATTCTTCTTTTATCATTTTTAATCATTATCAAACTTTTTGATGCATAACGTGTAATTGCAAAGACCATGGCTTGGATCAGGCTCACCTCAGTCTCTAGATTGACATCATTGTTCTACTTTAGTACATTGGAAAGGTCCCTGACAGCAGACTTTCCCAATGCAATTTATCTTTTGATTTCCTGACTGCTGGTGTCAAGAGTGTTGATCATGGAACTGAGCAAACTAAAATTGTTGACATTCTCAATCTCTTCTCCATTCATCATGATGCTGCCAATTGTCCCAGTGGTCATGCAGATTTATCAGTTGTTTATCAAGGTGGCTGATCCTGAAGCCCTTTTAGTATTATTCTTGTTTGGGTCTCTCCAGTTAAGTGTGACTCTTAGCTCTTTTTTGTGAAAGAGCTGCCCTGAACCTTGTCCTATCCTGTGCCATCTTCACCATCTCTGACACACTAGAGCCCATTGCTGAAGTCACTGTGTCAATGCATCTCTCCTTGGGGTCTTCCTCTCCTTTGATGATTCTCTGTTGCCAGTTGTTTAGCCCAAGTGGCCCCTTTCGCACCCAAGTGCCCCTGCCCTTCTACATTTCCTACAGTGTTTGACGTTGTCTTCCACTACATTTAGACTCATCCTGAGCTTCTGAGGGAGCTCTGGCAGCTTGTTGTTGTTGTTATGTGCTGTCAAGTTGCTTGCAACTCATAGTGACCCTATGTACAACAGCCCTAAACTCTGCACTGTTCTGTGCCAAAAACACTGCCTCCAACACACCTATCCCAATTACCACAGCCACTGAATCAATCCACCTCATGGAGGGTCTTCCCCCACTGTGCCATCCCTCCACCCTCCCAAGCATGATGTCCTTCTCCAAGGACCGGTCCCTCCTTACACCATGTCCAAAGTATGTCAAATGAAGTTTCAGAATCCTTGCCTCCAAGGAGCAGCCTAGTTTAACCCTCTCCAAGATGAATCTATGTTTTCTTGGCAGTCCATGGTATATTCAATACTCTTCTCCAACACCACAGCTCAAAGGCATCAATTCTCCTTCTATCCTCCCTAGTCATTGCCCAACTCTCTGATGCATAACAAGTGATTGCAAAGACCATGGCCTATATCAGGCACACCTTAGTCTCCAGAGAGACACCATTGTCCCTCAGTACCCTAGAGAGGTCCCCAACAGCAGACTTTCCCATCGCAATACGTTTTTTTTTATTTCCTGGCTGCTGGTGCTGAGATTGTTGACTGTGGAACCAAGCAAATTAAAGCTGTAAACAATCTCAATCTCTTCACCATCCATCCTGATGCTGCCAATCGGTCCAGTGGTGAGCATCATTGTCATCTTGATATTGAGCCTCAATCCATACTGAAAGCTGCAGTCCTTGACTGCATTTCAGGTCCTCCTCAGTTTCAGCAAGCAGGGTTGTGTCATCTTCATAACGCAGATTGTTGATAGATCTTCCACCAATCTTCACCTCACATTTCTCCTCATAGAGCCCAGACTCCCGGATAATCTGCTCTGCATACAGGTTGAAAAGGTATGGAGATAGGACACATCCCTGGTCTACACCCTTCCCAGTTTTGAACCATGCAGTGCTTCCCTGCTCTGTTCTGATGACTGCCTCTTGGTCCAAGTATAGGTTTCACATTAGTGGTAAGGAATTGTGCTGCCAACCCAAGAGTACATGGTTCAATTTCACCAGCTACTCTTTGGGAGAAAATGGACCATCTTCTCCTAAGCGATTCGCTGCCTCTGAAAAACCACTGGAGGGTCAGCTTCAGGTTAGTTCTGACTTGATGGTGCACAAGGAAGACAACAACTACATTCTGACCTGTGGTGGCCGCACACAAAGCAGGAATGTTCCATAAGAGTTTCAAGGCTGGGACTTTTTGGAAGCAGATCACTAATCTCGACTTCTGAGATGCCTCTAGGTAGGCAGGTGGGCACTGCCAAGCTTTTGACTAGTGGTCAAGATTCAGCCATTTGTGCCATACAGGGACTTCTGAAAGAGTGCTTGTTGATTTCTTAGTTATAGTCTACACAACTGAGCAAAACACTGTCTGGTCATGCACTATTCTCACCACAGCGACAGGGCTTGAGCCCGTTGTTGGGGCTACGTTGTCAGTCCATCTTGCTGAGGGTCTTCCTCTTTTGTTCTGACCTTCTGTTTTACTGACCATGATGTCTTTCCCCAGAGTCTAGTCCCTACTGATAACATTCCCAAAGTCTGTGAAGTGAAGTCTCACTACCCTTGCTTCTAAACATTGCTCTGGGTGCATTTCTTCCAAGACAGATTTGCTGGGTCTTTTGACATCCCCCACACCATAACACAAATGTATCAAGATTTATTCTTTTGGGGGAAGACATTTACCAAGTGCTTAAGACACAAATCAGCCACTATGTGTCTAGTAAAGGCTCCTGTCTGTAATGTAAGTGGTTATGTCCGTGACTACCAGCTAAAAGGTCAGTAGTTAAACTCTATCCAAAGATGCTTCAGAAGACAGGTCAGGTTATCTATTTCCAAAGGAGCATAGTTTTGAAAATCCTGTATAGTTCTTCTCTGTTACGAATGGGATCTATGTGAGTTGAAATAGATTGTATGGCAACTAAAAATATGTGGGTTTTGTCTGCAATAGAGACAATGTTGATTGTTAGTGACACTTGAGAACAGAAAAGTATTGCCCAGTGGAGTTTCCTAGTCTGTAATCTTTCAGGGAGTGAATCATTAGGTCTTTTATCATCTAGGTTTATTGGTTTTTAAACATTGACATTAAGGTCAGCAGCTGAACACTTAACCATTGCACTACCATCAGGGTTCCTTAACACGTGCCCGAAACTCAAACTCATTGCAGTCAAGTCAAAACTGACCCATAGCTGACCCTGCAGTGGACTTTCCAAGGCTCTAAATTGCACAGGAAAAGACTGTCCAACTTTCTCCCTTGGACCAGCAGGGGACTCAAACTCTCAGAGAAGTTCCCCCTTTGGGTTAGTCGGACAACTTAGGACAAATTACACCACCACAGTTAATACTTAGAAGAGCCCATTGAGTTAAACAATGGATTTGATCTTCACATTGATTTATAAAGCATTTAGTGTGGCATTCTTTTTGCAGATGGAGAAACGGAGTTTTAGGAAATTTAATTACAGTCTGAGCTCACATAACTCGTAAATGTGGATCTAAGATTAAACGTAGGTCTTTGAGGCACTAAAACAAATTACAGTTCTTTAATATTATACTACTTCTCTGAGAAATAGCATTAGCAGGGAAACATTTTTTCTGGACCCTTTTTATTTGATGAGTATATTGGTGCTATTAACTATCCCTTTGACATATGGAAATTTGTGATGTGATTTAGCCTTTCCATGCCAGCGTGTGTAGGCATATATTCAACATAGTGATTACCCTTCCCTCTCTTATGTATGAGAAGTCCAGATCGCCTACGTTTTACTTGAACTTCAAAAGTTGACCTTTAAGGAGAAAAGTCCCATACAAGAAAAATCTAATTTGAGATTTAATTATTCCCTTTTCTCTTGGAAGACTTTAAATGCAGCACGTCTCATCGATCTGTTTGTATTGGCTGCTTAGAGTCAACTGTAAAATTTGTACTAGTTGGTTGGAGGCTACTGTAAAATTTATCAACTATGTAGTCATCTCCTAAAAAGCATATTTATGGCTACATTATAAGTTTGTAAGGGAAAATAAGCCAGAGATACTATTAACATGTACTTACCTATTTGTGTTATTATATCTAGGATAAATGTAATATGAAAACTTTAGTTTGTAAACATTCCTTTTATCCAAAGTTTCACTCACATACATGAAAATACATCCAATTTAACAGACTAGTTTCTTTTTTTTTTTTTTTTACAAGATCAAACCCCACATTTATTGTTCTGCGAGCTCCCCACCACAC